ACAAATTAGCTAATAATAGTAATAACATTATGAATGGAGACTCCTGGTACTTTCAGGAAAGCCAGAACCAACTCTTCTCAATCTCCAAACTTAAAAAAATGCAAGTATCCACTCTAGCCTAGGCAACAGAGTGAGATTCTGTCTCAAAAAAAAAAAGAAAAGAAAAGAAAAGAAAAGAAAATGCAAGTATCATTTTGTGGTAACATAATTTTCTCAGCTTCCCTATCCATAAAACAGAAGAGGACAGAACCCCCCTGAGGGGGAAGGGCTGCAAGATTCAGATAGGCCATGTGCTGAAAGACAACAGGCCCTGTTGTGATGCCTGGGCAGCCTCCAGGCAGCGTAGGGCCCCTCTTTAGCCATCCTGAGTTTCAAATCCACAAAACCTACATCCCAGCAAGATGATCAGTTGGCACCTATCATGGACTTCAGGGTCACTTGCAAACTGCCAAAACCAAGAACCCAAAATCTGCAAACATCAAAGGTCCCTGAATAGAGAGGCACTGTAGGCAGAGACCCACTCACCCACTCACTCCCCAGGGACGACAGCAACAGCAGCAGCAGCCATTTACAGAAATCCAGGCACTATCCTAAGCACTTCACCTGTCTGGCAAGTTCACTCATTTAAAGCTCTCAACAACCCTGAGCTAAATACTGTTATTACCCTCACTGTACTGACAAAGAAAGTGAGGCCCAGAGAGGGTAAGGAATGTGCCCAAGGTCACGTGGGTAGTCAGCATGGAGCCAAGCCTGAAACCAGCAGCCCCATCAATGGACAACTCGTGTCCAGACAGACGTTTCCTCCCACGTGAAGTGCGGTTTGCTCCCTAGGAGGCTGGTAGAAAGTGTGTATTTGCAAGGCCGGGTTACAGATATTCCCTGTGCACTGCTGCAAAGGAAACCTAAGTCAGTACCTCCTCCCACCTCTGCATGCCCGAAATGGTGGCAAATCCAGACATTAAAACAAACAAAAGAATACCCACCCACAGACCGGCATCACTTAATCCTGGAAAAGGTCTTCCTCCCCAGCCCCCACGCTCTCCCAGAAGAATTCCAGCCCAGAATGCTAAGCCTCCCAGCAGAAAGGGACCTCGAAAATGGCCCAATTTTAAAGAAAGAAATGTAGGGCCCCAGGGGAAGGGACAGGCCCAGCCGCAGCCTACATTGTCCCTGGCATGCCTCCCGGGCCGGTTTACTCCTGACACCAAACACTCAGCACCATGAGGGCAGGGGCTCTGCCCCGCTGCACTCCAACCCGCACCTAACACCAGGCCTGGATTCCAGAAGGTGCTCGGTAAACACGAACATCCATGAACTGCTCAGTCCCTTCTGAGGAAGTGTGCAAATGGGTCCTCGGTGAGACACCACTGCCTGAGACTGCTCCATAAACACGCTTCCTGCAAGCCCAGTCGGCCCAACTGGCCACCCAGTTTCTCAAAGACAAGAACTTCACATTCTTCTGTTATGGGGGCCTCCAGGAGGCCCGGGCCGAACCTGAGCAAAGAAGAGACACTTAATACACACAGAGGCCACATTCTCTGGTGGAAGCCTCAGGACTAGACTTAGGGAAGCTCTTTAACTGGCTGTGCAAGTCCCTTCCACTCTCTGTACCACAGTTTCCCCACCCCTCCATCCCTGGGTTGCTGGGAGGATTAAGTGAGATGAGGTACCTGGAAGCACCTCATTAAAAATCAGCTATTATTGCAGTAAAGACAGATGAGGTCCATCCGCATTTCACACCAAAAGGCTCCATGAAGTCATGTGCCTCTTTCAGCACCTCCCTCAATGGAGGTTCAGCCAGAGAGGAGTTGGAGGAGACACATAGAAAACACAAATGAAGGGAGCCCGGCCCAGCCAGCTTTCCCCAACAGGCACTTAAATTAAAATCACCTAGTATTTCCAACTAACAACTATATTTCTTACTTCCTCTCTGAAGCCCCTTCCGGGAATCTTGAGAAAGCCACAGGGACTGGGTGTGACGGAGCCGCAAGGCTGCTCCCTCCCGTGTTAGGAAGGGAAGGAAGGTGAGAAGGGTGGAAGAGAACACAACCTGAGCCATGTCGCCGCAGAGGGGGAAGAAACAGAGGACGGCACCAGGAACAAACAGTTCACTGAAAACACACGCTGATTCGAAGGCCCATCTGTGGGCTAGCCGGAGGCCTCATCCCATCAGGGCACTCACTTGAAAGGGCTGGCCCTTGTGCCTACCTAAGGCAGGTGGGTAACTTCGCGGGACTTGGCTGCACGCACCTACTGTTGCCGTGGACGTGCACTGCCCCCTCAGAGAACAAGGCGTCACACTTGCAGAGGGACTCAGCCTTGCGAGGAAAGTGTTCCTAGGGACTAAATAGCAGCAGCTGGACCCCAAGGAAAACAATGAGCGGGTCTGCCTTATTGTTAAAGGTGCCCAAGGAGGAAGGCTTTGTCAGAGCAAATCTGGAGGTCACCAGGTTGGACCCATCTAGAAGTTAAAGGAAAAGAGCAAGAGTATGGAACCTGCCCCCTCCTGTGCCTGCTTCCCCATCTGTAAAACAAACGGGCTGGATGAGATGATCTCCAACATCTCTTCCTGCTCTACGATTTTTACGAAGCCTGACATTCAACTAAACAACTCATTCCAGACTAGGGTCATCCTCTGACACTAGCCCAAACATTCAGAGCAGAGCCTCAAGTCATTTGCAAACATTTCTGGACTTTTTCATTAGGGAACTCATAGACAATTCATCATCCATCAATACAAAAGCCTTGCACTCCCAGATTCTGAATGTCAAAAACATGGCATTGTCCATTCACACGGTCTCTCATGCCACTAAGATCACACTGGCATTCACATCAAGCAAAACAACAGCAAAGGGCACTCTGGTCACCAGCTCACCAGCTAGAGCATTTTGCAGCCAGTATAGAAATGTGACCACCAGGGGGCACTGCCCTGAAAGTATCATAATAAAAAAGAAACAGAAAAACTCTTTTTGGTGTTTTCTTTTCCTTAAGCTCAAGTGACAAAACACCTAAAGCTTTCCTAATGAAAACACAAAGTGGGTTTCCTGGGGTTCCAGGATGGCCCAGATGTCTTTTGGCTTCTGATTGAAGCCAATATTTTGGCCAAAAGAAGGCAACTAAGACTTTTAACACAACCACCCTTTCGGAGAAATGAATGCTATGCTCCCAATTTCCCCCAGAAGGGTTGACACCATAGCTTGCCCTGAACCTCCCACCCCTTTAAAGGCAAGGGGTCCACAGAGCAAGCCAATCTGCAGGTCCGGCCTGAGGACCGGACCTGGCTGTGCATCTCGGCAAGAAATGTTTTGCTAGAGCTGCCTAATTACCGAGTAAAACATACCAACCCAATGACAAGCTTCAAGCTTCGGTTGTGGACACAGGATGACAAAAATACACAGAGACAGCAGTAAAAAGTGTGCAAGGTATCAACCAGGATTTCCCAAGTCTTACATGACTGCAGGGGGAGCTCCAGTGCCTCCCATCATCACTGGACTTCGAGAACATGCCAAAGAGGCTTCTCCAAATTTCTTCAGTGTCTAGGGTGCCCCTTCCACAAGTGCGTGTATCCATGGTGCAATGTTCAAGTATCCTCCTGTAATATTCCAAATCCCTAGGACCCATTTTCAAGGCTCTAGCTTCGAGTCCCTCCCGATTTCCTTGTGAATTCCAGGGGCCACTCTGCATTCCCTACTATGAAAAGCTTGCTTTCTCCTAGGGATGCCAGCCTGGGCAAAGACTGCCTATCACATCCTCAGACCAAGGGACACAAGACCAGGAACTATTATAAAATAAGCAAGCTGAGCTCCTGCAGCTGCAAGGAGAAGAGTGCTCTCGGGGCTTGCACGGGGCAAAGGAGCAGCAGGCCCTTGGGACAGGCATGAGGTGCACAGAGGTGCTGCCTGGCTCACCTGCACATGCCAGCTCAGACTGGCCCCTGGCACACCAGGGAATAAAGAAATGCAACTATTCAATTCTCTGAGATGTCTGGGGACCCACAGGGACTAAAATGCAAGTAGGGCCCATTTATAAAATCAAATCTACCAAGCTGAGGTACTGCATCACAAAAGGTTTCCACCCTGAGTTTGCAAAAGGCTTCTGGAGCTGGATTCTCTCAGGCTTTCCTTGAGAACTGGATTTAACTAACAGCTTCTCAGAAGCAAAGCCACAGCCGTGGAGCAAGGCAAAGCCCACCTGACCCAAGACTCAGTACTTCTGTAATGTGTTAAAAATATGATCCCATAAACACCAGAGAGCCACCGGGAACACCAGCATGGTGGGAGGGGGCACACAGCCTGGATGGTCCAGGGCCATTCTAAGCCACAGGCACTCACTTCCCCAGCACCTTGACTGCACCAGCCACTCCCTAGCCATGGGACCCTAGGCAGGGGACCCTAGCCCTCCGCTGATCAGCCCCTTTTCTCAGACACGTGGCCCAGAATCACCACCCTGGCCAATTTGCAAGGCTACTGTGAGGCTCTAATGAGACAGCAAATCACCACATACATGCCAAGTATTGCCACTCGCTTCAGCTGGGCTTAGCCCGCTGCTGTGCAATGACAGCTTCCAGAATCCAGCACACGCGGGGCACGTAGTCGGTGGTCCACAAACGCTGGTGTCCCTCTCCACTAAAGGGAAGAGGACGAAGGAGGAGAAACACTCCGGTCCCAAAAGTACCCCCAAGCCTCCAGCCGACAGCGTGGATTCCCCGGTTTCCCAGGTCCCTCCACCAACCTTCAGCCGCGCTCCCACCGCGCCCCGGGCGGCTGGGGGCCTCCCAGCGGGGGCCCAGTGCACCTGACCGCCCGGGTCCGAGCCCCGTCGCCCGTACTGGCCACCGCCGCCCTCGAACACAGCCGGCGGCCCACAGCCACCTGGCCACTCGGACTCAGTCTCCCCGCGCGCCGCTTCTTCCCGTTTTGCTCTAACCTCCCCAAACAACCGCTGAGGCTGGACCGGCTCAGGCCGGGGGTCCCCGGCACCGGAGCGGCGACCCTCCTCACCTGCACAGCTCGGCGAAGGCCTGGAAATTGAGCTTCTTGATTTTCTTCTCGCTCAGCCAGTAGCCGACCCTCTTCCCTTTCAGAAAGGTCTGCATCTTCCTCCTCGGGCGGGGGCCGGGGCCGGGGAATCGCCACAGGCCGAGTCTGGCGGCCGGCGCGCGCCGCGAGCGTGCGGGCACCTCCTCCCGGCGGCGGGGACGCGGAACGGGGCTCCGGGCGCGCAGTCCTGCGGAGGGCGGGCAGGGGCGGGGCGCGGCGGGCGGCCGGGAGGAGGGAGCGGCTCAGCGCGGAACGCCACTGGCTGGGCCGCACGGGCCGCCCAACGCGCGCCGCCCACCGCGCCCGCCTGCCCGCGAGCGCCGCGCCGCCCCGCGGGCTGCAGCGGGGCCGAGCCGGGCCGCGGAAGGGAGGCCGGGCCTCCGCGACGCCGCCCCGCCCGGCGCGCCTCCCGCGGCCGCGCGGGCCCGAGCCACACGCGTCCGGCGGCGGCAGACGGCGGCCTCCGCGCCCGCCTCCCGCGCCGGGTCCCGCCTCCGCGCCCGGGCGCCGCGTGCGGCCGTTCCGAGCCGGGCGCGTGCCCTCGGCGCGCTCGGACCCCGCGTCCTCACCCGCCGCCGCCGCCGCCACTTCCTCCTCGGCCTCGGCCTGGGCTCGCGCGCAGCCGCCGAGAAGGGCGGCGGCGAGCGCCGCGCGCACGCCGAGCCGGCCCGCCGCCGCGCCCGCGCTGACCCGGCCGGCCGGCCGCTGAGCCGGCGGGCCGCGAGGGGCGCGGCGGCGGCCCGCAGGGGGCCAGCGCCGCCCGCCGCCTCTTAAAGGCGCCGCGCCGCCCCTCGCAGTTACTGGGAGCTTGTTTCCGTCGACGGGTCGGAGGCGCAGCGGTGTTTCTAGGGCGGCCCTTCCCAAGTGGTTTTACTTTTTACAGGGGCGAGGGGAGGAAGTCGTGGTGTGGGCACTTCCTGCCTGTCCTTTGGGGGTGATCGAGCCGCTGAAGGTCTCTGTCCCCCCAGCGGTGTTCAGCCCCCCGAAGGCAATTCGTTGCAACTGCAAGCGGAGGGCGGAGACGGTCAGGGGGATCTCCCCTCTTCGCTGAGGAAGCCGGCCCTGGCCCAGGATGGAGGCCCCTGGGGAGCGGTGGGGCCCTCTCAGGCAAAGGACGTTGACCACCAACTCACACTCCCGGCCCCTTCAACGGAGAGGGAAGGGTGGCTACAGGCCGCAAGAATAAGAGGGACATCCCCAGGAGACGCTTTCCTTGGAGGTGCGGTCATGCCCACGCCCTGTGGGGCACCAGGGAGCACTCCTGCTGCCAAGAGCTTCTGGTGTGGGGAGGAGACGTGCACATCTCTCCCCAGGCCAGGCAGAGAAGGTGGATTCCCGTGGAGAGAAGGCCCTTAGGAGGAGGCATGGATGCCAGCAGTGGAGAATAAGGAAGAGGAAGGAGCTTGAATTGAGGCCGGGAGGAATGAAAGAGCCAGGTGGTTAGGGGGCGACAAAGACTCTCTCCTTGACAGAACTTGAGTCATACTGCTCTGAGTCCTCTTTCTGACTAGGCCCTGGCCTTGAGTTCTATTTTAATAAGAACCCTGCTTCGTCAGGAAGATCCCCCACCCTTGGTGTTCGGGTCACCCCAGCCTGCCTGCAGTAAGACTCCTGTCTGGTCAGCTGAACCACAATCCTCTGGCCTTGATGTTTCTCCACTTAGCAACTTGCTATCCACTGACTGCCCCTGCTCCTTGGCTACAGATTCCCACTTTTCCTTGTTGTCATCAGAGTTGAGCTCAGTCTCCCCCACTGCAAAACCCCTGCTGCAGTAGTCCTGTTCTTGAGTGAGGTCTTCCTTGCCAGCTTGAAGACGTATCTGATTAATTTCTTATTTAACAAAGGAGTGAAAAAGGATGGGTGGAGAGTGGAAAAGCACTGGGTGGTAGACAGGGCTCCCTCGCAGCCCAGCTGGGAAAGAACTGTGCATGCCGCACCCAAGGGTACTGGGTTCCCTAAGCCATGGGAGCCTGGGGGGGGGGGGGTGACAGGGTCAAGGGTCAACTCTGTGCCTATGAAAGCCTGGATTCTGGCAGAAGATGGAAAGCTGGATAAAGGGGCGATCATGGCAAGGACCCCCAGGCCGAGAGAGAAAAGGGGTAAAGGAAGGCTAATGGGGTAAAAACAAAGGGGGTGCAGGAGCAACAACAAACTCCGTATTATTGAAGTCAACAGTAGGAAATCTCTGACACAGGATATAAATGTTCTGCTGTTCTCAAGAGCTGAAAGAGCCATTGAGGCTGGGTGGTCTAGGAGGCTTCCTGGACTTCCTTCCCTCCTCCAACAAACACGTGGAGCCCGATGTGTGGCAGAGACACTGCAGAGCACTGGAGTACGGAGGAGTGGAGCCAAAGTCCCCAGAAATGGGATCCCACATTTCTAATCAAAGCCATTGGTTAGAAACATGGGATGAGAGCCAAAAGAGAAATGGGCAGGGAGATGGCAATCTGTTCTGCTTGGCTGAATGACCGGGGAGGCTATGGCATTGAGTGATGAATAGGAGTTCAATGGGGAATGGAAGGGGCATTCCAGGCAAAGGGAAAAACAGGTGCGCAGGTTCGGGGGGTGAAAAGGCAAGAACACCGTAACTAGCTGGGCATGGTACGATGGGGATGGGTAGGAAGATGCAGCCTGAGTAACAGATTAGGGGACTGGGACTTGGGAAGGACCTGAAGGCAAAGAGTGTGTGTGTGTGTGTGTGTGTGTGTGTGTGTGGTCAGCTCCTAATGAGGAGCTGAATGAAGTTCTTTTAGCCTCATCTGTAAAGTGGGGATAAAATATCCCACCGCAGTTGCTGAGAAGACTTAACAGGCCAGCAGAGAACTTGCCTTGAAGGCCAAGTATGAACACGTCACTGGGTGTCCTCAGGCTCACAGAAAGCCCCTTCTTTCAGGCCCAGCCCCAGGGCCCTGCTTTCTTCCCCTGATTACAACCTGCCCCCACGGCCTTTCTTCCTCTTGGTCTCCCAAGTGGCAATCAGGTGAGGCTTGTCCGTGCTGAGACTTCCAAGGTGACCACACATGTCTACTCTCCCTCTCAGCTGGACCACTTACTTGCTATGTGCCCTTGTAGGTCCGTTAGCCCATGGCGGCCTCAGATCTCCGCCCTATCTCATGGGGTAAGCCCTGCTCCATGAGAGCTGTTGGAGGCGCAAAAGAGAGGGGCTGTGAGCTCTAAAATGTCAGGGGAGGCCGGGCGCTGTGGCTCGCCTGTAATCCTAGCTCTTGGGAGGCCGAGGCGGGCGGATTGCTCAAGGTCAGGAGTTCAAAACCAGCCTGAGCAAGAGCGAGACCCCGTCTCTACTATAAATAGAAAGAAATTAATTGGCCAACTGATATATATATAAAAAAAAAAAATTAGTCGGGCATGGTGGCGCATGCCTGTAGCCCCAGCTACTCGGGAAGCTGAGGCAGGAGGATTGCCTGAGCCCAGGAGTTTGAGGTTGCTGTGAGCTAAGCTGATGTCATGGCCCTGTAGCCTGGATGACAGAGTGAGACTCTGTCTCAAATAAAATATATACATTTCTCTACTACTCGGTTTCTTTCATCACCACAAAGCCCATCAAGCCTTCCCCACTTATCTGTTCTCTACTATTTAGCCAACACTGTCTTCAGATGCAAATCAGATCTGATCAGGCTACAGTTACCTCTCTTCACACCACCTTAAATGGCTTCCCACTGAACTTGGGATAAAGCCAAAACTCCTTGACGAGGCCACGGCCTCCCAGCTTCCTTCCTCACCCCGTTCCCCTTGCTCTCTGCCTGCCATGCTGACCTTTAGGCATGCAATCCCTTTTCCTAGAATGTTCTTCCCTCTCTTTGTTTATTAAACCATCCACCAGCGTTCAGCTCAGGGGTCCCTTCCCTGCCTTTCTGGCCATCTAGTACCTCCAATGGTGGTGGTCACCCCAGTCTGCTCATTGTACTGGTTGAGTTCTTGCTTCATGTTTGTTTGTCCCACCACCGTAAGCCCCTTGAGGGCGGGAGCTGTGTTTTTTCCTGCTCATCCTGTGTCCCATAGTGTTCCAGCAGGTGATGCTGACTCAGAGTCTGAGTTCTGTCTGCATTGGAGATGGGGCCAGGCTAGATCTAACACTCTGCAGGCAGAAGTGCTCGGTAAACCTTGACTGAACAAATGCAGGTCAGATAAGTCCCTCCAGAGGTAAGTCCCAGGGTAAGGACCCTGACTGGTGTGGAAGTTAAATTGGCCAGTTCAAGACGTAGCCAGACTGGCATGACCACTTATTGTCTGTGTGACAGTGGCAAGTTAATAAGGCTGTCTGAACATCAGTTTCATCATTTATTAAATGGGAGTGACCATCAGACCTAGTTCTTAAGGTTGTTAAAAAGTTTAAATGAGTCTAAATCCATAAAGCTAAGTCTGTAAAGGCCTGTAAATTCATGAAGGAGCAAAATTCTTACAGGACTGCTTCAGACATGCCTGGTGGGTATGGGCCACTGCTGAGCTGTTATTGTTCCTGCGTCATCCGTACAGTGGACCCCCGTGGCCATTAAAGTAATCCAGTGGGATAACATCTGCTCATCCATTCCTTCAATAAATATTTATTAAGCAGCTACTATGAGCCAGGCACTATTTTAGGTGCTAGGGTTACTGCAATGATGAAAACCACACAAACTCCCTATCCTCGTGGGGTCTACTTTCTCAAGGAGCACCTAAAGCACACACTACAAGATAAGCAATAAATTATATAGAATGTTAGTAAGTGATGCATGCTGCAAAAACAATTTGAGCTTCCTAAGGAGGACAGAAAATGGTGGGTTTCTGTCTTAATCAGAGTAGTCAGAGTAGATTCCACAGGGAGATGACATTTGAGCAAAACTGTGACAAAGGTGTTGTAAGCAAGCCAAGCAGATATCTGGGTTAGGAGCTCAGGCAGAGGAACAGCAAATGCCCTATGGTAGGCTTGGGCCTGGTAGGACAAGGGACAGCAGGGAAGCCAGACCGGCGGGAGCAGAATGAGCAAAGGCGGGGAGTAGTGGCGAGAATGGAGGAGAGAGACCAGCGAGGAGGACACTGCAAGCATCCAGGCAGATGGGGACCAGGTGGTAGCAGGGAAGGTGGTGAGGAGGGGTCAGATTCTGGACATAGTTCAGAGGCAGTGGGATTTCCTGGCGGGTGGCGTATGGGAATGCAAGCAAAAGAGAAGGCAGGGATGTCTAAGCTTCTGGGCCTGAGCAACGGGAAACATGGAGTTGCAGACAGTTGAAACGGGGAAGACAGAAGGCGATACAGGTTCAGGGGCTTCAGCCAGGCTAGGTTTGAGACATCTGCCAGATAATCTGAGTGCAGATGTCCAGCAGGCAGTGTGATAAGAGGCTGGAGTTAGGAATGTGACTCAGACTAGAGATATAAAATTGGGAGTTGTCAGGGTAGAGATGTTACTTAAAACCTTGAGGCTGGATGAGATCACCTACGGTGTGGGTGTAGGCAGAGGAAAGGTCGAAGATGGGACCGAGGGGCATGACCGTGTTCAGAGGTCAGGGAGGAGCAGGGGAATGGCAAGAGAGATGAAATAGAAGGAAACCCATGAGAGTGCACAGTCCAGGAAGCCAAGCGAGGGGAATGTTTCTGGGAGGAAGGGCCGGTCAGCTGGGTGGAATCAGAGGAGGACTAACAGGACTAACGGGTGGCCTTGGATATGATGACAAGGAGGCCATCGGTGGCCCTAATAAGAGCTGATATGGA